TCCCCCTTTCTCCCCCTTCTCCCTTTCTCCCTTCTCCCTCCCTCCATTCTTGCCTACCATGTACCCCCCCCCCTCCCTCATTTGGCCAACGAATAAATGCGCAAATTAGCCTGCTATTTTAAATATTAAAACGTAAGAAATATTGAGAAGATTCGTGTTAGACTCATTAATCTTACCCTTTCAGTCATATTCAAATATATATATATAATATATATATATATATATATATATATATATATATATATATATATATATATATATATATATATATATATATATATATATAATATCTCAGAATAATCACAAAAAACACGTGATTCGGTTTGTGTAAGTATTTACTAGGAAAAGGAAACTAAAGTTCCGAATGTTTTCGTGTTTCAATACATTATCAATGAAATACAGAGGACATTACTGTATGGGATTACACATACACTGTGTATGGGTGCGCTGGTGGGTGAGTTAGTGTGTCGGGGTGGGCTGGTGGGTGAGTTAGTGTGTCGAGGGTGGGCTGGTGGGTGAGTTAGTGTGTCGAGGGTGGGCTGGTGGGTGAGTTAGTGTGTCGAGGTGGGCTGGTGGGTGAGTTAGTGTGTCGAGGGTGGGCTGGTGGGTGAGTTAGTGTGTCGAGGTGGGCTGGTGGGTGAGTTAGTGTGTCGAGGGTGGCTGGTGGGTGAGTTAGTGTGTCGAGGTGGGCTGGTGGGTGAGTTAGTGTGTCGAGGGTGGGCTGGTGGGTGAGTTAGTGTGTCGAGGTGGGCTGGTGGGTGAGTTAGTGTGTCGAGGGTGGGCTGGTGGGTGAGTTAGTGTGTCGGGGTGGGCTGGTGGGATGACGGGCGCCAAGAGATGGTGGGCGGGACACCTCACAGGAGTCCAAGGTTTCCAAGCCTGGGTTCGAGGCTCTCACTCGTGTCTCCAACAGTTGGGATATTGGCGATTCACTGTGCCAAACGTGATTACTGCTCTGGGTGATTGAATTATATTTGTAATTTATTGTCGGGGCGGCCTGTGTTTGAGCCTGTTAGGAGCTCCGCTGCTTTAACAAAAGGAAGACTGAATCCTCTCTAATAACTGGGCACGGGAGGAACTGCTGCCACAGTTTCATGAATTAACTGTATTGGTGTGATGGAGGGTGGTGGTGGTGTGATGGAGGGTGGTGGTGGTGTGATGGAGGGTGGTGGTGGTGTGATGGAGGGTGGTGGTGGAGGTGTTGGAGGGTGGTGGTGGAGGTGTTTGAGGGTGGTGGTGGTGTGATGGAGGGTGGTGGTGGTGTGATGGAGGGTGGTGGTGGTGTGATGGAGGGTGGTGGTGGTGTGATGGAGGGTAGTGGTGGTGTGATGGAGGGTAGTGGTGGAGGTGTTGGAGGGTGGTGGTGGAGGTGTTGGAGGGTGGTGGTGGTGTGATGGAGGGTGGTGGTGGTGTGATGGAGGGTGGTGGTGGTGTGATGGAAGGTGGTGGTGGTGTGTTGGAGGGTAGTGGTGGAGGTGTTGGAGGGTGGTGGTGGAGGTGGTGGAGGTGTTGGAGGGAGGATGACGGTAGTACTTACCTAGTTGTGCTTGCGGGGGTTGAGCTCTGGCTCAAGGTGCAGCGTTAAGTGGTATGTGTAGGTGGAGATATGGGCAGGACGGAGTGTTAGCGAGGAGAGTGGACATGAGGCAGTGGGACAGGAATGGTTGAGGGATGGGAAGTGGTGGTGGTTGAGAGGGAGAAAGAAGTGTTTGATGGGGGGAAGGAGGGGGGTGATGTGTGGGGAGGGGGGTGGAGGTGGGGTAGAGGTCAGCCCAGGTTTCTCCAGTCTGTCTGCCGGCTTCCTTTGTCGTCAATGATGCATCGCTAATGGAATTAAGGTACCCCCGTCTCCCATATTTACTCTGCTACGTCCCGCCAAAAGTCAGCCCGCTGCTCAGCGCCGCTGACACCGCACCTGACACCATTTTCATCCCTAACACCGCTCCTGACAACATTTCCAGCGCTCAACCACCTTTTAACAACCGTTCCAGATCTAAACTCTCCCTTGACACAATTGCCAACGCTGACACCGTCCATGAACGCATTACTAGTGCTGTCACAGCTCCTGACAGCACTGGTAACAGCATTGACAAGCTGGCAGCGTTCCTGACAGGTGCTGACACCACCCCCAACATCATTGACAATATTTCCGATGTTGGCACCGCTAACGATGAGTGCCACTTACGGGGCTGAAGATCATAAAGTTCTTACTCCGTTGGTGTGTGACCGACGCCACCCCCTCTCCACCACTATCACCTCCACAACAATAATTTAACTTTCCATACCACTACTATCGCTGACGTTACTGCCGCTACCAACACCACTGCCACCGGTGACCCAGCCGCCATCGCTACCATCACCACCACCACCCCTACCACCACCCCTACCACCACCCCTACCACCACCACCACCCCTACCACCACCACCACCACAGTCGCCACAGCCGCCTCTACTCCCGTTCTGTCCCAAGCTGACCACGAGATCGAATTAGCGAGTCGCCTCTAAAACGAACGCGACTAGTAATTGAATTTAGAGCCTTTGAGAATGGCAATAGGGATCTCCGTAGTCCGCTGAAGGCTCGGATGTGGTGGGCTAGTGGTGGTGTAGTGGTGTCCAATGGTGTAACGGTGTCCAGTGGTGTAGTGGTGTCCAGTGGCGTAGTGGTGTCCAGTGGTGTCTGGTGGTGTAGTGGTGTCCAATGGTGTAGTGGTGTCTGGTGGTGTAGTGGTGTCTGGTGGTGTAGTGGTGTCCAGTGGTGGTGGTGTGGTGTTACCCCCTGCAGTGTGGTAGTGCTCGGTTGTGTTTTGGAATAGTGTCCAGTAGTGTATGGGCGAGTGCGTGTACCGGGTCTTAAACTCATCCACTGGCGAGTGGATTGAGTGCAATGTAACCGTAATGATTGGTCCCGTGTTCTTGAGGACATCTTCCCCCCCAAAGTGTGTGAGTGCAGACTGCTGCTCACATACGCCTGCCACACTAACCTTCCCGCGTATAGTCCGGGGAAGCTGCGTAAATGCAGATGTACCTATGTTAATGTTTAATTGTGTGCGGGTATAGCCAGGGACTTGTAGAGTTAGAGCTGGTGAACTGCACCGTTTGAACTGGTAGATGGTAGAGTTGTTGTAAAATGGAAGGGATGACCAAAGGGAGGGAAGGGAAGGGGAAGAGGAAGGGGGAAGGGGAAGGAGCTATGGTCTGCATATACCATTACATTGCCAGGTAGTTGTAGCATTTTACACCGTAGAGCAGATTTTTAATTAATTTTGTCAATAAAGATGTTAATAATAATAATAAAGGGTGGTGGGTTTGAGGATTGGGGGGGGGGGGGGTATTTGGGTGTGTGCTCTTAAGAGTAATGAAGGTGGAGGGTTATGTGACCTATGACTTGTTTTGTAGTCACTTAAGTCGTCTTGATGCAATTAAGATGATTTTACTGAAGGCGTTAACAGCCTCGCTGGTCACCCTTCACCTGCAAGGCTTCTTAACACCTTTTCTATCATTGTAGAACTCTGATGGTTTTTATAAATTAGGAATAAATCCTTTGATCCTGCTCTCACCAATTTAACTCGATCAGTCACATTCGATACAGAATGATGCTTATTATTGTGAGTCTTCTCTCATGACATTCTGAAGTAGTTTAGTGGGGAGAAAACTTGCAATGGGTCAGTTGTATTTTTCATGCCATTACAAAATGGATTGGTAATGGTGAGATTGTGTTGTAAATGGTGAGTTGTGACACACGCTTGCCAACTAAGGCAATACAGTCGTTTGTTTTTATCTCATAAAACACAATTGACACTGAAGCTTATATTACACACTTTCACGCGAGGTAATGTATCATTATTAATTAAAGCCATATTGTGTTTCATTGGAGTTATGCTTGAGCTTATCGTCTGCATCTACATCATAAAAACACCGTGATATCATCATGATAACGTCAAAAAACAATTGAATGAATATTTTTTTCCCTATCGATTCCATTTTTCTTAGGTTTCATAATTTTTTAAACCGCCTGTAGCAGCCAGGGATCAGTGTGCACCACAACACGCGGTACTGGACAATGTAGTGTTGTGGCAGCGCCAGTACTAACAACCTCACCAGTGGCAGCGCCAGTACTAACAACCTCACCAGTGGCAGCGCCAGTACTAACAACCTCACCCGTGGCAGCGCCAGTACTAACAACCTCACCCGTGGCAGCGCCAGTACTAACAACCTCACCACCAGTAACAACAACAACAGCAGCAGCAGGGTTTCAGCGGATATGTGGACATCCAAGCAATAGCCTGTTGGCCCATGTTATCACAACTCGAGCCTGGCCTCAAACCGAGCTCGGGGAGTAGAGGAAAACTCCCAGAACCCCCACCAGGTACAATCCAGGTTCGCTCAAGAACATTGTAATCCCCGGGGTGAACGGTGGCGGCCTGGGGCCAGATTCACGAAGCAGTAGTTACGCAAGCACTTACGAGCGTGCACATCTTTCCTCAATCACTGACGGTTTTGGTTACATTTATTAAACAGTTTACAAGCATGAAAACTTCCCCTTCAATTGTTGTTATTGTTATAAACAGCCTCCTGGTGCTTCGGAGCTCATTAACTGTTTAATAATTGGAAACAAAGCTGCCAAAGATTGAGAAAAGATCTACAGGTTCGTAAGTGCTTGCGTACCTGCTTCGTGAATCTGGTCCCTGGCTGCTGCTGCATTGTCGTCGCCGGTGTCCCCGGCGTCCCCGGCTCCACGACGGTGCCAGGGGGGGGGGCACCCAGGCTGTGGTGAAGGGGAGAGGGTGGCACTCCCATCAACAAGAACACTGGCACACCCTCCTGGGTCACCCCGACCCAACCCTCCCTAGTTTATTCGGGCTCAGGTGAGTGAGTGAGAGCTGAAAGTAACCGCGGCATAATTGACTGTAAAAGGAAGTGCATTACTTGGAGGGAAGAGAGAGAGAGAGAGAGAGATTTAAAGAAAGGGATAGGGAGAGAGGAAGGAAGAGGTAGGTGTTCTATGAGCAGTGGTGAGGGCCACGAGCGGCGGTGCCACGAGCTGCGGTGGTGCCACTAGCGGCGGTGCCACGAGCTGCGGTGGTGCCACTAGCGGCGGTGCCACGAGCTGCGGTGGTGCCACTAGCGGCGGTGCCACGAGCTGCGGTGGTGCCACTAGCGGCGGTGCCACGAGCGGTGGTGCCACTAGCGGCGGTGCCACGAGCTGCGGTGGTGCCACTAGCGGCGGTGCCACGAGCTGCGGTGGTGCCACTAGCGGCGGTGCCACGAGCTGCGGTGGTGCCACTAGCGGCGGTGCCACGAGCTGCGGTGGTGCCACTAGCGGCGGTGCCACGAGCTGCGGTGGTGCCACTAGCGGCGGTGCCACGAGCTGCGGTGGTGCCACTAGCGGCGGTGCCACGAGCTGCGGTGGTGCCACTAGCGGCGGTGCCACGAGCTGCGGTGGTGCCACTAGCGGCGGTGCCACGAGCTGCGGTGGTGCCACTAGCGGCGGTGCCACGAGCTGCGGTGGTGCCACTAGCGGTGGTGCCACGAGCGGTGACGCGCGGTCACTGGCGGCGGCGGTGATGGCTGGCGACCTCCTCGCCCAGTTGATGATAATGACAATTTATTGTTGTTATTATAGCGTGGGATTTGCTGTAATTTGTCCAACGGCTTAAATTTTGAAGAATTAATTAAGAATTTTTGTCCCGTATAATTGCGAGTCGGCATTTAATTTCAGTAATTATGAAGCAAGATTTTTGTCATTATTATTTCATATTAATTGCCTTTTAATACAATTACATTTGATTTAAGTTTCGATTTGCGTCCGCCTTGATTAGTTGCTTAATATTTTAAAATCGCACTTGCTCGACCTGCGTTTAAATTATTATATTTTTTTTCTATGTTAACAAGCGTCATAATTTGTAACATTCTTCAAAAGTCACGTTGTATGCGTTCCAATTACTCGCTATTAATTTCCATAATATTTTACTGGTAATCATTTTACGAGTCTGGGTTAGGAAACGCGAGTGGGGGGAGATGGGGGAGGGGGAGATGGTGGAATGGGAGGGGAAAGGATCAGTGGGATGGAAGGTAAAGGACTGGAGGGGAAAGGGGAAGTGGTATAGTGTGTTGGATGAAGGAAGAGGGTGGGGGGAGGGGGGCGAAGAGAAGGAAGTGGGGGGGGGGTTAGTAAGGACTGAAGAAACGGTAGGAGGGAGGGAGGGAGGCAGAAGGAAGGGAGTGGGAGAGGACGAAAAAAAAATTGTAACACTTTAGCGAGTAACATAATTGATTCCAATCTAATGAGGAATAAAAGTTTCGTAGAGCTTGTTACAAGTAACTTTTAATTGCCTGGTGCACCGTTTTCTATATCTGTAATTGCCACATTTGAGATTAAACTGGAGGGTATTGAAGGGAAAACTTCTCCCTCTCATTGGTCCTTCCTCGCTCTTGTTGTTTCTGTCTGTGTCTGTGTCTGTCTGTGTCTGTCTGTCTGTGTCTGTCTGTCTGTCTGTCTGTCTGTGTCTGTCTGTCTGTCTGTGTCTGTCTGTCTGTGTCTGTCTGTCTGTCTGTGTCTGTCTGTCTGTGTCTGTCTGTCTGTCTGTCTGTCTGTCTGTCTGTCTGTCTGTCTGTCTGTCTGTCTGTCTGTCTGTCTGTGTCTGTCTGTCTGTCTGTGTCTGTCTGTCTGTCTGTGTCTGTCTGTCTGTCTGTGTCTGTCTGTCTGTCTGTCTGTCTGTCTGTCTCTCTGTGTGTTCACCTATTTGTGCTTGCGGGGGTTGAGCTCTGCTCTTTCGGCCCGCCTCTCAACTGTCAATCAATCAACTGTTACTAAACTACTAATTCCCCCCCCCCCCTCCACACACACACATAGGAAGCAGCCCGTAACAGCTGTCTTAACTCCCAGGTACCTATTTACTGCCAGGTAACAGGGGCATCAGAGTGAAAAACTCTGTCCATTGTTTCTCGCCGGCGCCGGGAATCGAACCCGGGACCACAGAATTACGTGTCCAGCGTGCTGTTCACTCAGCCACCGGCCCTCCTTAAGAGGGATGGAGGGGGGGGGGGAGCAGCCGAATAAGCCTGAGACCCAAGTCCTAGCCTAACCTAAAAACCTGCCCTGACCTTCAATAGCAGCAGGCACCGCTAACTGTTCACTTTGTACAAAATTTTATTTAAAATATTTATGTTTTAAACGTCTAAATTCTGAAACACCTAACCTAACTTAGCGTTAGGTTAACTCTCTAACCTAACTTAGCGTACTCTAACCTAATCTAACCTAACCTAACTTAGCCTACTCTCTTACCTAATCTAACTTAACCTAACTTAGCCTACTCTCTTACCTAACCTAACTTAGCCTACTCTTACCTAGTCTAACCTAACCTAACTTAGCCTACTCTCTTACCTAACCTAATCTAACCTGACCTGACCTGACCTAATTTAACCTAAGCTGCCTTCAATTTGCTCTGTTTTGTCGTACCTCACTTTACCAGGTGTATTGAAGGGGGGGGGGAGGGGAAGAGAGTGTATGCCTAACAATGTTGTATATCAATTCATGATCAGGATAATGTATATGTCCTTTGTGTAATGCATGTGTATGAATACTTGAATGATTAATCGGCTTGTATGTATGTGCAACCCGTTCTCGCACTTGCTTATAGTCAATATTGGCATATTTAATAAGTACATATGTGGCATGCTAATTGATTGTGAATATTTTAGTTTACCTTGAAAACCTTCATAGAAAACACCGACCTCACCTAACCTTCTTAGTATGTTAAGATAAGCATCTTATTGCTTCTCATTTACAATTATTACTTGATAGGTTAAGTAATAATTGTAATTAAGAAGCAATAAGATGCTTATCTTAACATACTAAGAAGGTTAGGTGAGGTCGGTGTTTTCTATGAAGCTTTTCAAGGTAAACTAAAATATTCACAATCAATTAGTTTGTTATATATGCACTTATTAAATAAGCCAATATTGACTATAAGCAAGTGCGAGAACGGGTTGTTATGTGCGAAATACCTACTTACGAGCCCATACTAAGCACACACACTGTATGATCGGGAGGGAATGTATGATGGGACTGTATGATTGGGAGGGGGGGGGGAATGTGTGCGTTGTTCTTAATCTCTGATTCGTGTTTTAATTAGATTTTTCTTTATGGGTGAGGTTATTACCCTGTGTAGGATGGGTCGGACCACCTCTAATTTTATGGGGGAGTGGGCACTTTTTGCCACTCGGTGCTAGGGGAGGGGGGGAGGGGGTGCTGGGAAGGGGAGGAATGGGTGTCGGAGATGGGGGAAGTGTTGAGGAAGGGGAGAGAAAGGGGCGTATATATATATATTTTTTGCGTTTCCCCCCGGGAGATTTATATTAATTTTTTAATTGTTTTTGCGTTAATTTTGAAATGGAATAACATCTCGAGTAGAGGTAATGGGTTCTTGGTGTTTTAAATTGAATGTGTGTGTGTGTGTGTGTGTGTGTGTGTGTGTGTGTGTGTGTGTGTGTGTGTGTGTGTGTGTGTGTGTGTGTGTGAGAGAGAGAGAGAGAGAGAGAGAGAGAGAGAGAGAGAGAGAGAGAGAGAGAGAGAGACAGAGACGTGGTGTAGTCAGAGGGAGGGGGAGAGTGTGGGGGGGGGGGGGGGGGGGAAGAATGGTGAAGTAATGTATAATATACAAAAAATATGGTAAAAAGCCACAATGTGAGAGAAGAGATGGGTGTATGTGGGAGGGGAGTGCTTAGCTATCAGGACTTACCTAACAAGTATCTGTGGTGGGTTGAGGTCTAGCTCCTTTGCCCCGCCTCGTGGCTTTCCTGTACTTTTTCTTATGATTTAACTTTCTTGATGTTCGAGTTTTTCTTTTATCGAATATGAGAGTGAGGGCGGTGAGTGAGGGATGAGAGTGAAGGCAATAAGAAACACAAGAATGAATTGGATGCTGCTGATATGATCTGATAAGGTCATCCACCTGGTATACCTGAACGGTTGGCATCACCCGCCTCATCCGCTACTGGCAAGGGGCGGCGGCAGCAGTTGGTCAGGGCCGGCAACCCATTCCCATTACTAACCCATTCTCCCGAATAAACAGTACGTATTATTTTGACGTATAATTGACCCAAGGCCCAAAAACTGGTGTTCTAACAGTGGTAGCGGTTCGCGAAATGACGTAATGTCCCGTTTTCTGTTGTTGGGTTCTCGGGTAGGTTAGGTTCGGGGCAATTTAGTCCATGAGTTTAATGACGTTGTTAACGTTCTGGAGAACGGGCTGGACAGTTTCACTATTAACAGTGATCCTCCTGGAACCCAATTCCCAGTCATTAATTGGGCTGTGACTAGTTTGCTACTCCGCCCAGTTCCTTTATTATCTTACCTGGAGAAGGCCGGGCTCGACTTGTGAGAGCTTGGTCCAACAGGCTGTGTGGCTTAGCGCGGCCCTCAGGCCCACGTGTCCACTACAGCCTGGCTGGTCCGGCACTTCTGGTTTCAGTGGGGATTCAGTGAGAGGGGGAAGAGGAGGAGGAATGGGTGAGGAGACGAAGGACAATGTGAGGGAAAAGGGGATTTTTCCCCTATTCTGCTTGCATTCCCTCTTATTTTCCAACCCCTCATTTACGTTTGTTCTCTTCTCTACCTTCTTTTAAATCCCCCCTCTCTTATTCCTCCACTTTCCCCCCTTTTTTAATTTCCTCGCCCCCTTGCCCTTTTTCTCTCCTAGCTTTCCACTCCCTTTTCTCTTCCTCTTGTATTCTATTTTGCCTTCCACTCCCTTTCCCCTCCCCCCTCCCACCCCATTCCCTCCCCTCGTCCTGTTCCTCTCCCCCTCCTTCCCTCCCCATAGCCCCGGCAGTGCCCGTGTTGTGTTGTGATTGTCATAATTTTGTAGTAATACCGGCGACAATCCTGTAATCTTCCTATTAGGTAACAGACCCTATTGACGCGCGCTAACTGCTCCGCCATTTTGTGATTAAAAGGTGGAGTGGAAAAGAGCGAGTTAACTGTTGCTTATATTAACATTGTGTCTGTCTTTGCCAGCGTCTTGCTCTGTCTCTCTCTGCCTCTCTCTGCCTCTGTCTCTCTCTGCCTCTGTCTCTCTCTGCCTCTGTCTCTCTCTGCCTCTGTCTCTCTCTGCCTCTGTCTCTCTCTGACTCTGTCTCTCTTTGACTCTGTCTCTCTCTGACTCTCTCTGCCTCTGTCTCTCTCTGCCTCTGTCTCTCTCTGCCTCTGTCTCTCTCTGCCTCTGTCTCTCTCTGACTCTGTCTCTCTCTGCCTCTGTCTCTCTCTGCCTCTGTCTCTCTCTGCCTCTGTCTCTCTCTGACTCTGTCTCTCTTTGACTCTGTCTCTCTCTGCCTCTCTCTGCCTCTGTCTCTCTCTGCCTCTGTCTCTCTCTGCCTCTGCCTCTCTCTGCCTCTGCCTCTCTCTGCCTCTGCCTCTCTCTGCCTCTGCCTTTCTCTGCCTTTCTCTGCCTCTCTCTTCTCTCTCTCTCTCTCTCTCTCTCTCTCTCTCTCTCTCTCTCTCTCTCTCTCTCTCTCTCTCTCTCTCTCTCTCTCTCTCTCTCTCTCTCTCTCTCTCTCCTACCCATAATTACTTGTTTTTCGTCCATTTCTCTTAACCTTCCACTTTACTCTCCCGTCACTTCTCTGTTGCCGCTAATTGCTCTTTCTTCATCTTCTCCCTCCATCTTCCTGATTCTCCTCCTTCCCTTTCTTCCTTGTGATTCCCTTCATCCTCCGCATACCTTATTATCCTTCATTCCCCCCCCCCCTCGCCCTTATTTTTTCATTTCTTTCACCCTTACTTTCCCCTCATCTTCCTTCTCCACCCTGCCCCCCCCTCCCTCCCCATCCTTGCCCTCACCCTCCCTCCCCATCCTTCCCTTATCCTCCCTCCCCATCCTTCCCCTTATCCTCCCTCCCCATCCTTCCCCTTATCCTCCTCCTCCTTCCCTCCCCTCGTCCTCTTTCCCCTCTTTGGTGGCTTCTCCTCGTAATGTCTTCTCATTAGCTCTTTAAATGTTAATTCACCCTTCTCCTGTTCTCTGAATCTTACTCAGATTATCCTCCACCTCTCATTTATCAATATTCTTCTCTGCCTTCAGTCTTGACTATCGTCTTCCCCTCTTCCTTCCTCGCCCCCCCCCCTCTCTCTCGCTAGGTATGGTCTTTATTTGTTTTTTTCTCCTTTTTCTTGTATTCTTTCTACATGTCTTTCTCTCACTCGCTTCTTCACCTCTGCTCTTTCTTGATTTTTTCTTCCACACAATTTGTATTATTTTCACCTTCCTGTGCCTTCATTTTATCCACCCTCTGTCTCTGCACTTTCCCCACATCTTTCCCTTTTCTTTATTCCCCTCCCTTTCTCAGCGCCTTGCGTTGCTTCCCTCTCCTTCTTCCTCCTTTCATTTCTCCTTCACTGCTGCTTCATCCATCCCAGGTGCCGCTTCCACTCCTCTGTCCCCTCTTCTATTTCCCTTTTCCCTTCTCCCTCAGCTTTCTCCACTCCCTCTCCTTCCCTCCCCCTCTTCCCTCCCCCCCTTTCCCTAGCACACTTTTGCCGCCTCTCTACATTAATCCTGAGCGAGCCCCGAGAAAAATAGTGGCAAATTATAAACGTAATTGGAGCTAAATTGGAAAATCAATATGATTAATAACCGTGTATGCAACTTTGAAATTATAAATATAGGAAAATTGCATTAGAGGAGCGAAGGGGTGAGCTGTTCAGAAAATAGGATTACTACGAGGGATTGAAGCAGGGGGGTTGGGGGAGGGTGGGGGTGGGGTGGGGGGGAGGGATTTAGAACTGGGCGTGGGGGATTAAGAGTAAAATGTGATTCGTGCGCTATGATTCCCTACTAAGATTATATTATGCAGATGATGCCGCTTTTGGTAATTTGGTGTTGGTATATTTTGGTTCAATGTGTGTGGAAGTGGCTGTGTGTAAGCCTGGAGGGTGTGGTTGTTGTGTGTTTAAATGTGTGTTGTGTGTGTGTGTGTGTGTGTACTCGGATATTTGTGCTTGCGGGGGTTGAATTTTGGCTCTTTGGTCCCGCCTCTCAACTGTCAGTCACCTGGTGTACAGGTTCCTGAGCCTATTGGGCTCTATCATATCTACACTTGAAACTGTGTAAACTGTATATGGAGTCTGCTTCCATCACATCACTACTTAATGCATTCCATTAAGTGTGTGTGTGTGCACGAGCGTGCGCGTAGCTAACTGTGCATACAAGGGGAGGAATATCTAGCTCTTGGGCCCGGCAGTTGTGCCAGGTTGCTTCTACACCTCGAAAACTGTATAGGGCTGCTGTTGAATGAACTTGGCTTTCACCACAGATTCTTCCAGCGCAGTCCACCTCTTCCAGCGCAGTCCACCTCTTCCAGCGCAGTCCACCTCTTCCAGCGCAGTCCACCTCTTCCAGCGCAGTCCACCTCTTCCAGCGCACTCCACCTCTTCCAGCGCACTCCACCTCTTCCAGCGCACTCCACCTCTTCCAGCGCACTCCACCTCTTCCAGCGCACTCCACCTCTTCCAGCGCACTCCACCTCTTCCAGCGCACTCCACCTCTTCCAGGGCACTCCACCTCTTCCAGGGCACTCCACCTCTTCCAGGGCACTCCACCTCTTCCAGGGCACTCCACCTCTTCCAGGGCACTCCACCTCTTCCAGGGCACTCCACCTCTTCCAGGGCACTCCACCTCTTCCAGCGCACTCCACCTCTTCCAGCGCACTCCACCTCTTCAACATACCGAGTACGACATCTTAGCCGGTGGAGCTCGTTGTGTCCAGGCTCCACTCCACCTTGGAAGAAAAGGAAACAAAAAATTATTTTTGTGCATGAATATTTTCCTTCCTTGAAAGCCAAACGCGCTTCCGCCGTGAGCAGCCTTGAGGGGACATGATCCCTCCTGATGGATACTTGCCACGTCAAGGGAATTGACATGCCCTTGACCTGCTGCCAGATTAAGGGTTGTTTCTGAAAGTGGTCGCTGCTCTGGCAGCCCTGATCTCTTCATTTCCCACAACGTACGAAATACAAAGGGCTAAAAGCTCTAATAATAGTCTAATGAGGAATGTTAAAATGTCATAAAATACAAACAGGGCTTCAGCTTTGAGAGGGTTATGAAATAAAAGGAAATGTTTGTCAAGAATTAATGGCAACTGCAAGAACCAGACGATCACTTTTTTGTTTTATCTAACATCATTTTTAGTTCTGGCGAACGAGGCTTCGATTTACATATTGGGGCAAAGATAGGATCAACCTAGAGTTAACTCCTAACACACTAATTCCTATTCAATGAATATACAGTTAAACTGTTAAAGTAACCCACGAAGAACTACAGAACTGATAATGTCGCTGCACTTTTCAACAGTAATGATAGTTATGAGGAGAAAGATCTGAGCCACCACAACTACAGTATATAGCACTTGGAAGGGATATGAGGGCGTGGCGCTGGGATATGAGGGCGTGGCGCTGGGATATGAGGGCGTGGCGCTGGGATATGAGGGCGTGGCGCTGGGATATGAGGGCGTGGCGCTGGGATATGAGGGCGTGGCGCTGGGATATGAGGGCGTGGCGCTGGGATATGAGGGCGTGGCGCTGGGATATGAGGGCGTGGCGCTGGGATATGAGGGCGTGGCGCTGGGATATGAGGGCGTGGCGCTGGGATATGAGGCTGTGGCGCTGGGATGTGAGGCTGTGGCGCTGGGATGTGAGGGCGTGGCGCTGGGATATGAGGGCGTGGCGCTGGGATATGAGGGCGTGGCGCTGGGATATGAGGGCGTGGCGCTGGGATATGAGGGCGTGGCGCTGGGATATGAGGGCGTGGCGCTGGGATATGAGGGCGTGGCGCTGGGATATGAGGGCGTGGCGCTGGGATATGAGGGCGTGGCGCTGGGATATGAGGGCGTGGCGCTGGGATATGAGGGCGTGGCGCTGGGATATGAGGGCGTGGCGCTGGGATATGAGGGCGTGGCGCTGGGATATGAGGGCGTGGCGCTGGGATATGAGGCTGTGGCGCTGGGATATGAGGGCGTGGCGCTGGGATATGAGGCTGTGGCGCTGGGATATGAGGCTGTGGCGCTGGGATATGAGGGCGTAGCGCTGGGATATGAGGGCGTGGCGCTGGGATATGAGGACGGAGGTGAAGAAATATGAGGCAGGGAAGGAATAATGCACAACCCCATACACCATCTGGAGTCGAACGCCTACCAACAAGAAAGCGAGGCCATTACTCTACCGACCAATCCATGTGGCTGGGACAATGCTGCACATTTGAAGTACAAGATTTAAAAAAAAAAACATTAAAGTTCTAGTGTGAGGTTAGGTGTTCACTTGTGTGAACAGTGTCTGATGAACACACGTGAACACGTTCACAATGACCAGCAGTTCGTACCTCAGCGTACAATCTTTGGAGTTCTTGTTGCCACAATTCCAAGAAAATCCCGAGTAGTTACAAAGGGGTGTTTGACTTTCAACCGTTTGATGCTGTCCATCAACCGGTTGATGCTGTCCATCAACCGGTGACCACCAGCCAACACGCGCCCTTCAGCTGCCACAACGTACAAAGCAAGGGGTACTAAAATGCACGAACCCAAGCCAACCTTCTTAACCTGACCAACAACCCATGCATAGAAAACGTAGATATTTGTGAGCCGTTACTTTTTTTTGTAGTACCACCTCATTTTGTACGTTGGGGGTCCATAGCTTACAATATGAGACGCAGTGGATGACAGGAAGGGTTGGATGACAGGAAGGGTTGGATGACAGGAAGGGTTGGATGACAGGAAGGGTTGGATGACAGGAAGGGTTGGATGACAGGAAGGGTTGGATGACAGGAAGGGTTGGATGACAGGAAGGGTTGGATGACAGGAAGGGTTGGATGACAGGAAGGGTTGGATGACAGGAAGGGTTGGATGACAGGAAGGGTTGGATGACAGGAAGGGTTGGATGACAGGAAGGGTTGGATGACAGGAAGGGTTGGATGACAGGAAGGGTTGGATGACAGGAAGGGTTGGATGACAGGAAAGGTTGGATGACAGGAAGGGTTGGATGACAGGAAGGGTTGGATGACAGGAAAGGTTGGATGACAGGAAGGGTTGGATGACAGGAAGGGTTGGATACAGGTCATCCATCATCCCTACAACTGTGTCGGTAGAGGTGACTCCTTTCCCCCCGTTATTGTGACTCCTCGTCTGCATAAGGTGTTCTTAGCGTCAACTGTGAATTAGATTATTTACATCATAGTGAATGACGGACGACATGTTGGAACATATTAATTATTCCACAATGTGTATCCAATACTAAAAAAAAAGCAAAAATACACTTAATATACCTTGTATTGAACATTCATGTTAAGTTTGCCCAAGCACTTGGGCTGGACGGTAGAGCGACGGGTCTCGCTTCATGCAGGTCTGCTTTCAATCCCCCGACTGTCCAAGTGGTTGGGCACCTTCTTTCTCTCCGTCCCATCCCAAATCCTTATCCTGACCCCCTTCCAAGTGCTATATAGTCATAATGGCTTGGCGCTTTCTCCTGATAATTCCCTTCCCTTGCCTGCCTCTCGAATTCATCCTTCGTTTTAATCCTACTAGGTACGACATATATATATATATATATATATATATATATATATATATATATATATATATGTATATATATGTCGTACCTAGTAGCCAGAACGCACTT